GAACTGAGCCATTGAGTATCCGCCTTATGCTGATATGCTTCAGATTGCATGTAAATCGGTTGTGTTAGACTCTAAGAAGGGGAAGCCGTCCCCTCAAACCTATTGCCATCCGATGGTGGTCGCGCCTCATGAGGGATTATCAAAAGTATAGATCGGAGGCCTTCGTAACGGCCATAAGAAGCAGAGTTTAGGAAAAGGATGGGACATGGCGGGAAGATGTCATCAGGAGATTCGGGAAATTTAGATCTACAATAATTACGAAAGGGAGATGACTTTTGACTGTAGAGATTGCACTGGAAAATGACATGATTGGCGTCCTGTACCTCTGCTCCGGAGGGGCATGCTGAAGAGTCCACAATATTCACTCTATGAAGGCTGCTGTTGAGATTATAGTGGCTGGATCTAAGACGATTAACCATGAAGATCTCCACTCTGTTTAGAGAGGTTTTATTGAACCAGGTTTTATTGGAGTTCATAGGGAAGCGCTCATGATGAAATGTGCTTTTATACGCTGCCGTTGAATTTAAATATGTCCTAAATCGCGCGTCCAAGATTTCTTTGAATTCAATGAACATATCTTCATGGAATTCTAAAGGTCGGGGCGCGTCCCTCTATGGAAACATGTTTAGCGATCTCGTCCGCTTTCTTGTTTCCTGGAATACCCGAATGAGATGGAACCCAAAAAAGTGTGATTTCAATTCCCTTCTTTGAGGCATCCAAAATATTCTGTCTAATATCGTAAATAATAAAGTTATTCTGGATATTGTAATCTATTGTAATTTATTGTCAAGAGCATTTTTGGAATTGGAAAATATGATAATATTTTTATTTCCGCAATCCCTGACGAGAAGCGTGGCTTGAAGTATGGCCCATAGTTCCGCCGAAAACATAGAAGTTTCCCTGGGGAGTTTACATTCAATGGAGAAGTCCAGGTCCGGTGAATAGACGCCGGCTCCTACTGCGGTGCCCGGTTCCTTAGATCCGTCTGTATAGATGGAAACAGCATCCTGCCTGAGCCCCGACATTTTGGACAACAAGTCAGCCGCCATGTAGTGCGTTTTGTCCTTTTGATTGCATTCTAACATGGATTTCATATATGTAATAGGTTGTGACATTACTTCAAATTCGTTATTGAATACGGAGAAGTTTGACAAAGTCCGCGGAATCTGTGCTCCAGGAGAAGATCTGTGAGCCATACTCAATCGCGCTTCTAAAGGTCGCTCTATAGACGGAAAGGAGGAGATCAAGATGTGATCCCCATTTAACGCCAGATAATGAAGAGTTGATATTACAATCTTTTTACCTTTTTCAATAAGAGCCTTAAGCTGTAAATTGCCTGATAGTTTTTTATCTAAAATAATTCCCAGGAATTTATGAGAGTAGACTCTATGAATAATAGAATTGTCAATTTTAATTGCAGGAGCTTCTGAGTACCTTTTGGATTGAGAGAATATGACGCATTTCGATTTATTTGACGAGAGTTCAAATCCTCTGTATCTGAGATATGTAAAAAATGTTATTAATTGAGTTTTGCACAGAAGAAATTGCCACTTCAATATTGCGTTGTGTAGAGTATATAACGACATCATCTGCATATTGTAATATCCGAGATTCCGGGTATAGATTGATATCTCTAAGATAGATATTAAAAAGTATAGAACTAAGAGTGGACACCTGTGGCGTATCCTTATAAGAATCAAATGGGCCCTAGAGCGATCACAAAATACAAACGTCTTTTGCTAATAAGATTTTCTGTGAATTTCCTAATAGGTGCAGGGATGCCAATTTTCATCAGATCATTAATTAAGATGTGAGGTCGACATTTTCGAATGCACCAGTGATGTCTAAAAAGACCGCAACTATGAGCGAATTTTTGATGAAGTCAAGCCAGTTCTGATATTGGTAGTAAAAGTAGTCAATACAAGATCTAGAAAATCGAAAGCTAGATTGAGTTTGCGGCAGAATAGAGCGAGATTCCAGAAACCATCTAAGCCTAAAATAAATATATTCCATAATTTTGGCGTAGCAGAAAAGTAATGAAATGGGTCGAACGGACTCTCTCCCTAGTTTCGGTATCAATACACTAAGCGAGTCCGGGTACACACCTTAAGCTAAGATTTTATTATATAAGCTCAAAAGTTGAGTTCGATATTCATCTGCAAGATTAGAAATTATTATATTATATTATATTATATTATACTTGTAGTCAACTTGGTCCAAAGAGCGGACCGCTTTTTTACCACATTGATGGCTCTTGACAATTCGTCAGATGAGAAAGTTTCTCCTAGCCAGTGATGTACGAGGTGTGTTCAAAAAGTATCGCGAATTTTGAATTTCCGCGGGTTACGTATATTTGATTTTCGATTTTTTTGTGGCGTTATGTTGATACTCATGTCTCTCACTTATGCCGACAAGTTCGGTCATTTTGAATGTTCAGTTAATTTTTGACAGCTGCTTTGCTTGCACGTGTTTTGGCTCGTCTTCGATTTTTGCCTATTCCAAAAAAATGGATCAAAGAATCTGTATCAAATTTTGTGTGAAAAACAAAATTAAGTGCGCGGACGCATTCCGAATGTTGACTGTGGCATATGGTGAAGCTACCTTGGACCGAAGTAACGTTTATCGGTAGTACAAAATATTCTCAGAGGGCCGAGAAGATGTGAACGACAAAGAGCGTGCTTTCGGTCGAATGTGAAGGTTTTGCTTACAGTTTTCTTCGATTGCAAGGGCGTGGTGCATCATGAGTTCTTGCCACAGGGTAGAACGGTCAATAAGGAATATTACCTGCAAATTATGCGCAATTTGCGCGAAGCAATCCGCCAGAAACGCCCGGATTTGTGGAAGAACAAAAATTGGCTTTTGCACCATGATAACGCTCCTGCTCACACATCGTTGCTTGTGCGCGAATTTTTGGCCAAAAACACACTAATAATGCCGCAGCCACCGTATTCCCCAGATCTGGCCCCCTGTGACTTTTTCTTGTTCCCGAAACTGAAGAGGCCCATGAAAGGACGACGCTACGCTACGATTGAGGAGATAAAGACGGCATCGAAGGAGGAGCTGAACAAGATCACAAAAAATGATTTTTTGAAGTGCTTCGAGGATTGGAAAAAACGTTGGCACAAGTGTATAATATCTGATGGGAATTACTTTGAAGGGGACAAAATAGATATTCATGAATAAATAAATAATTTCTGAAAAAACACAAAATTCGCGATAGTTTTTGAACAGACCTCGTATGTTGTTTTGGAAAAGATCCTCTTGCTTCATATCGTCTATATGCTTCGAACGATCGTAATAGCAATAGGGGGGACACAGTTTGTCTATTGTTTCAAGCGATGCTTTAGGGAGGTTGTTCTTGCAGGAGGGAGAGGAATCCTTGTTACATCTAAAGCATCTGATGAGAGACCATATTTGCTGCGAGGAAGTGGCATTGTTGAATCCTCCTACTAACTTTCTCCAACCAAGGCGCTTTGCCTCAGACAAGCATTCGGCACATTTCTTTTTGACTTTTCTGAAATTGACAAAGTGGACTCTCAGGAGTATCAGGACACGCAATCAATTCCTTAAGCGATTTTTCCGTTCTTTGACCGTTGTCGCATCCTTCATTCCACCAAGGAAGAGGATCTGGACGATTCAAATTGACCTTACTACGCGGTAAACTCTTGCCAGCAGGTAGCAAATTCCTAGCAGATTTCAGGATATGTTTAGAAAATGTATTGTATGAGAGAGAACCGTGTTGTCGCACGAGATTTCGTGAACAGTATTCTTTAGAATAACGTAAAGCTTATCCAGGTCTTCTAATTTCAACTTGTAGCAGAATTTTTTAGAAGAGCAGGGGGAGTCTGATTTCCGTAACAACAGAAAAGTGATCGCTGCCGCACGTGTCATTGAGAACAGAATTATTATACAGATGGGCAAGAAAAGGAGAAACCAACGGGAGATCAATGATTGATTTGCGAGCAGAAATATGTGCAAAGGTAGGAGAACCATCATTAAGAATTACAAAATCATTGTCTTCAATGGCCTTCATTAACCTTTTACCCGGGCCCGATTGAGAGGCGCAGCCCCAATTTGTATGAAGTTAAAATCTCCTACAAACGAAATTTGATTATATTCTGCCAAGGCATTGAATAATTCAGATAGAATGTGAGAGGAGTGTCTTGACCTGAGTGTCTATAGATATTTACTAAAATGATAGGATTCTTACAAGAGTAAAGTTTAATGACTTGATATTCCACGAATGCATGATCAACGTTGTCTAAATGAATAGTTTCAAACTTGATGTTCTCCCGAATCCAGGTACAGATGTGTCCCGTTTGCATGACATCTGCCCTAACGGCGTTAAAAGATTTGATTTTTAGATAGTCACCTGGCTTAAGCAAAGACTCTTAAACACAAATCATATTATAATCTTAAGAGAGGATCTGCAGGGATGCCAGGTTACCTCGGACTCCCCTGCAGTTCCATTGTATGATTTTAAATTGTTCTGAAAATTTTTTGAATCGTTCTCCCGGAAGCTGAAGTGTTTTGATCTCAGACCTCGAGGGAGGGGATAGAGATGAGGGGAAATATAATTTTTTTTATTGTCAGGATTAATTCCGAAAATTATTCCTATAGCTGTCAGAGTATTGGGGTGAGTGATTGTTATTCCAAGATTCAGGTGGATCAATTTAACTATGACGGTAATTGGAAGGAGGGGGAGAGCTAGGATAGTTGGTAAAATCGTGCGCATTATTATTAGGGAAGCTAATATTTGTAATAATTGAAAGAATTATATTCACAATATTTGAAAAATCGCGATTCTAAAAGCAGTGAATTAATTTTGAAATTAAATTCATAATTTCCGGCATAAAATTTGCACCTTCAAAAAAATTTGCATTACGAAAGCCATGCTGAGCAGGGGGGGGCATCTTGATATGCTAGGCCATTAGCAGCGAAGCGTTCATTATTTCTTTGATAGTCATACAGTACATTTTCATGTATTCTTCTATCATAACCTGCGTCAAAATGTTGCTGACTGGAGTTTCTGCGAGGAGGCGGAGCGCTGGAAGGGGTTGCTTCGTGAGGAGAAGAACGGCTCTTGTTGAGCCCGCTGTTGAAGCTACCAGAAGCAGTACGATCTTGAACTCGAATTGACATCTGCATAAGATCTATAATATTCTCCTCCATAGTCATCTAAATCTAAAATATTGAAAGAGTTAGGACTTTCAAAACTTGACAATTTGAGAACTAAAGTTAGGTTTCCTTCTTAAATATAGAAAATTATTTAAATCCATCCTAGGCCTGCTTTGGGAAGAATATCTGTTATTATCATTAATGATTCTTCTAGCATCTGCGATGGGGATATTTTCGGTGGCAGCCAAGTTAATAATTTGATTCTGCTTCAAAACCATCAGGCATTCTTTGGAAGTTGCGAGGTGATTACCTTTGCAGTTAATGCACTTGTCACCCTCTTCAGAACAAGAGCTCTCGACTTCCGCTTTGTGTCTATTGCTCCCACAATAAAGGCATTTTGGCTGGCTCTTGTACACTTTTGCAATGTGTCCGACTCTGAAGCAGGCAAAGTAGATGCGTGATTTCGGGATGAAAGGACGTACTTCATGCCTAGTCTTAAACAAGAATACTTCGCGCGACAAAATCTGGCCTGCAAATTTTATACGCAGTGTCTTTGAGAGTATTCAGCTTTGCCGTCTTTGATTGTCCTTCTGTTGAGCCTATGGATGTCCAGAATTTTGCTATTACGGAACTTCAATGTGTTTAAGAACAACTTCCGAATCAATTTCAGTTGGAACATCTTTCATGACTCCCACTCTTAAGACTCGGAATGCTAGAATGAAGGCTTTCAGATTATGCTTAGAAAAAATAGGATCAATCTATTCGCAGTCAAAGCAGTTTTTGCTTCCATGAATATTTTTCCTTTATCTATTTTCTTAATTTCCTGTATATCAGGAATACCGATTTCGCTATGATGCTGGAAATTATCGTGGGATGTGTTGATTTTTCACGGATCATGTCATAGCATACGGGCCGTTATTTCGCGAGTTGTATTTTGCTGATGCCTTAAAGTTAGAAGAATTGAGGTTATGAACATGCGGATCTGATAAACTCACGCCTTTGCCCTGTTGTTGTTGTTGTTGCGATCCTTGTGTATTTGAAGATGAGGAAATAACCTCAGAAGATTTTTTCGGGGAGGTGGGGTAACGAGGGGCGAATCTTGGCTTACGTCCCGGTCAGAAGAGGGACGTTTCCTTGAGTTAATTATTTCATCGATGTCCATGGGCGAACTCTGAAACTGCGGTATCCTCTTGATATCTCGAGGCTGATGCAATCTTGCAGTTCGAATTGCACGATTCGGCCATGCCTCATTTATGAGAGACTTGAGCATACCAGATTGAGAATATCGCATTGAGAATCGGATAGATTTTCCGGTGCTTTGGAATCCATTGTACTTGGAATAGAATTTACAGGCTCATGCGGATTGTAGACAAGGATAGGAGAGTGAAGGGAAGAGGAAACGCTACGCGGGCTATGATTAGTTCTCCCACTTGAGTCCGAAGCCATGCCTCTATGGGGGAGACGCTGCCACGTGCGGCGGTTGCACTGTTGAAAAACCAGAGAAATATGCGGACGTCCGTCAGTAAAAAGAAAACAAGCCAACCCCTGAAGAGAGCCAAATAAAGAAAGAAAGAAAATAACAATAATGCAGATACGCGCAGAACACGTAAATGCAATCCCGAAATGACGTCCGGGTCGATTCTGTAATTCGAGTGAGATCACTCACTTTTCGCACTTTCACGTGAGTTTGTCGCGTGATTCTATTGGATCATCTAAAAAGTATCCGCGGTTTTTTGTCACTAGATGTGTGTTGATGGTCATATATCTAGTAACAAAGTATCGCGGATACTTTTTAGATGACCCAATATAACGACGAAGTGAAAATACTAGATAAAATCACTAGATTTGCCGGTGTGGAGAAAAATGTGAAAATGTGAAGTGAAACATAGGCCGCGATCCGATTCACGCTCACAATGCTTAAAAATCATTTCATCCTTGTTGTTCATCAAATGTTAATCGAAGATAAACGATACTCATAAGCGTTGTCAACATGAATCTGAGCATAAAGTTCAATTTATTCCTAATTTTTTTCGAATTCAGAATTGAAAACCGATAAGGTATAAATCGAACTTCGATTAAAAGTGGTTAAAAGTAAATTGTGAGTTATGGTACTGGGCCTAAATAATTTTCTGCCATTATTTACAAAGTTAATTCTGTTGAAAATTAATATCTCTAAGCATTCTTCGAGCGATATTCATAGTCCGTTCTTATTTTAAGATTACCATAAGTAATGTCTTATGTAATGTTGTAAGAAAGTAATGTCGTAAGTAAGTAATGTCGTAAATAATGTCTTAAGTAATGTTTTAAGATGTCAATACGGCTCTCTTATTGTTTCATGACATCTTAAGACGATCTTGAATATAAGATCTGTCTATGAATACCAGCCTTCGTGTAATTCTTATATGTGATTCAAAGGCCTCTTCATCCTCTTCATCCAGTAATAAAATTGCTACCATGTATATTACCATTTGATTTTATTTTTGTTTTTGGACTGTGCAAAATTATAATTATATTTAGACTCTCTCCGTCTCTGTCTCTCTTTCGCTTTAAAACGAGACAGAGAGAGTTTTACGTCTTGCTTAAAATCAAAGTAATGTTGGTACAACCGGGTCTTAACCTTCAAACTGTAAATTGAATCGGTTCAGTCGGCTGTGATCGGTTCAATTCTTCTGTCGCTTTATTTCTCAGTCTTTCTTTCTCGGATCTCATTTTTCGACAAAAAATTTCTTGCCGAACGAATTCCCGTGAGATGACTCACCTTTTTGTCATGAAAGTTATGGAATCGCGCGGACTGCTCACTTTTCGCATTTTCATTACATTTTACTTATGCGTGATCTACAATGGTAGTAGTAGTGAATGAAAATGTAAGAGTAACAAATTGACCAATCACAGTTGAATGTGAGAAGAATAATCGACTGTGATTTCTTATTCTTACAACCTCATCCATTACTGATACTGTCATTGTACACCACGCATTAGAGTACATAGATCTAAAGCAATATCCTGATTGGCTCATCGGCTTAAGTCCATGCCTTAAGGTTATTGTTACAGAAATTTTGTGTACTAAACCAGTATCCTGATTAGCTTATCAGTTCACGTCTTAAAATTATTGTTAAAGCCGCAGCAAAGACTTCTGCACAATGCATAATGCATAGTGTATAAGCGAATCAGCTAATCAGAATCTTTCCTTTTTTTCCATTCCATCCAAAAAAAGAATTTCGATTGGTTGCCCTTATGCACTATGCATTATGCTTTATGCAAGAGTCTGTGCTGCGACGATTATACAAATTTTGTCTGCGGCGACCCTTTTTACCTATTATGGCATACCGCATACGGTTAAGGCCAATATAAACGCTCCCTAAGTTCACGATGCTCGATGCTCGACGGTTGACGCTCTGATGCACCTTACAATCATAACATTTTTTGATACTATGGTTTGGAACAGAGAGAAACCTTATCCACACAAGTATATTATCATTATTATTGAATGTTTTTGATATTGTTTTTTTCCGGTTTTATTTATTTGTAAGTAATTGATACAATCATCATGGCCACAGACGATTCTTGGAAAACGTCACATTTTCGTCAGAGTGTAGTCGCGATAATGTAAGTCAATTATGTTGGTTAAGTTCATAAAGCAAAAACATTGTTTTATATCAATATTGGTATTAAAAGTTTAATTTTCATTTAAAAAGTAATTTTACCTAAGGTTATTGAATAAATTTATCTTTTACAATGATGTATTGTTATTTACACACATATATATATATTTTTTTATTAGGTGTTGGAATTAATTCGTAGCGTTTTTAATGAAAGAATGTTATTTATTTCACATGAGCATTAAAAAATACATTAATGAAAGTACTTCCCATCACTTTAAAAACGCTACGAATTAATTCCAACACCTAATACATGAAACTTATTAATTTTATATATATATGTGCGAGTCAATAGATTCATTTTAAACCAATTTGCTCTTTTCATTTTTCTTTTTTTTAATATTTATATTTTTTATTTACTTTCTTTTTAATTTTTCTAAAATTATTTTTTATTGTTTCTCCATTTGTTAAAATGTATGTAATGTAGTTGAAAGAAATAACTCTAATTTTTTATTTGATACATAATTGCAAACATTTTATTGATAATAGTGATGAAGCAATACAAGTATCTGGCATGCCTACGACAAAGAATAGCATTGAAATGGAGAATCATGTCTTTCAAAAAGCTAAATCTAAGGTATGTTTAGAATTATACTAAGAACATATTAATTCTACTCTTTGCAGCTATGTTATGTTATACTTTTTGGATTTAAAGTAAAATATATATATTAGTTGTTTTCCATTTTTATACAAGTGATACTGGCAAGGAAAGGTGCCCATCTTAGAAATTTAAAAAATTATAAAATTGACAACACATAGATGATGTCTTGACATGTAATAAGCAACTTTTTTTGCTGCTTAAAGAAGAATTTTAAAAAGAGTTCGATTTTTACCCATGAAGATATAAATGAAAGGAATAGCGTTTTTTTATAGATTTTAATCTCTTGAATAATGTTAACAAAAAGTTTGGAATTGATAGGGGACACTTTGAAAATTGAGTATGAACATGACATTTAAAGAAATTTCAATATTCTTGTTTACTTTTCAAGATATTCCCTATAAACTTTTTAATGATTTTATCATATTTAGGAGGTTAAAGCAAATTCTACTATGCGCTTTTTGTTTCTTATTTCTTGCTTTTTGCTATTTTTTTAACATCTTTTTGCTTCTTATTTAGTTTTTTGTTTTATGTCGCTCGAGATAAAAGTTAACAAATTTCGAAAAAAATGCATAATAAGAAATACAATTGTCGATAAAACGGTTGCAAAGGAGAAAAAAGCAAAAGGTGAAAAACAAGAAACAAGGAACAAAGAGTACATTGTAGAAAAGTTAAAAATCTACAAAAACAATTTTTTGTATTCTTTGAACAAAAATCGGACTTTTAAAAATATTCTTCAAAAAAGGGTAAATTTTTGGTCAAAAAGATAGTAAAGTAAGTAAAAGAAATAGTGTTTTTTGACCTTAATATGAAATTATTAAAAAGTTTGTGGCATTTGGGATACGCCTTGAAACATAAACAAGAATATTGAAATTTCTTTAAATGTATGATGTTCATGTTCAATTTTCAAAGATTTTGAATTTTTTATTAACATTATCTTATTCAGAAGGTCAAATCTATAAAAAATACTATTCCTTTTTCTTACATTTTATGGGTAAAAATTGATTTCTTTTTAACATCTTCCTTTATATCATAAAGGTATAAAATGAATCCCTTAATATTAGTCTATTTTTATTTTATCTTAACAAAAAAAAAACGCGGAATAAAATTTCAGAGAAAAAATTTATTTTTCAAAATGAGATTTATCGATTAGGAAACTTATTAATTGTTTAATTACATGAACAATTCAATTTATGCGCACGAAAAATAAATATATCATAATGTGTAATAAAATATGTAATAATAGTTTTCTTGAAATGAGGTTGTTCTGTTTTTTTTATATATTTTATATCGGAAGCACCTAATATATATTATTAATTGTAAAGCTTCAGCTAACTGTGAATATGATTAAGTGGAACACGTAAATGTATTACACAGTATTAAAAAAAACCACATAAAAATATTAATATTGTGAATATATTGCTCCTGTTTTTTGTTTATGCATATTTTTTTATTATTTTTTAGACAATGAATAAGTTTTTTAATCAGTAAATCTTATTACTTATTAAAAAAAAAATAAATTTTCTCTAAAATTTTATTCTACCTCCTGTTGTTGCTGAATAATAAAATAGAACCGATAAATGAGATAATCTTCAACGGTTAATTTTACTCCCTTAGAGTCTTGGTCTGATTTACGCTCACAACTCTTAAAAATCATTATATCCTGTTGTTTGTCAAATGTTAAACGAAGATAAATGATGCTCATGAACGTTGTCAGCAGAAATCGGATCATGGCCTTGGATAAATTTCTTGGATAAATTTGGAGCAATAAAAAAATTATATGTCAGGATAATGTCTAAATCTAGTTTTCTATTTTATACTCGGATGATACGTCACTACTTGCTCACTTTAATATCAAAGTTATCATGTAACAAATTTATAATCTCATTTTTAATTAGTAATATAGTTCTAAAAATAAATGTACTCTGGTAGTGCTTCAAATAAAATAAGGAAGAGAGGTATTGGTGAAGTGTTCAACATTTTGTTATAGAACATTACATTTACATTTACACATTTGAACAAATTCTTATTCCTTATTCTAATTATAATATAAGCTGTATTTTATCAAATCTGTACCTACTCTTTAGAGACAATTATGGTATACGTATACTGATACGCTAAATAAAATATTGCAAATATTTTATTTCTTTAATTTTTGTAATGTAATACCTTTTTATCTTTTCGGTGTCTTTTTGATAATTTTAAAGGGGAACAAGCTTGGACGCTTTGATTAGCTATATAGCTATCATCATGTTGTCATATTGAAATTCGGGTTTCACTAAATATTTAAATGTTTCCTTTCCTTCTTATCGACTTATTACATAAACATTAATTTTAAATATTAATTTAGAAAGTACTCTGGCGTTGCTAAGTTTCCGAAAAAAGTATCTTGGTATTGCCA